CATGAGCACTTCCCTCCCCGGGAGTTGGAGGAGGTCTGGAGAGAGATGCTGATGGAGTGCTTTGGTGCCTGGAGGCACTGAACACCCTGGAAGGTGGCAAAGGACCCTGTCACTGGTGGTACACCAAGGGCATCCAGAAAGGCCACTGAGGTTGAGGCTGAGGCGGACAGGTCTGCTGCAGCTGTGGATACTCGTGTCAGTGCCGAGAGCGGGACCGGTATCTTGTCAAAGCTCTAGATGATGCTGACTGAAGTGTCTCCACATCGGAGTCAGATGAATAATCAGACGTGGACCAGGGCAGCGCCGTCCCTACTTGCCCCGGCACCATTGTGGTCCTGAACCTGCCAATGGACTTCGGCTTTCTGGCGTGCATCTGGCGAGGGGGGCACACCGGAGCTGGTACCGAGAACCCGGTGCCCTGAATCTGCCGCAATGACCCGACATTGAAGGGTGCAGGGCTGCTGTACTCATGTCTGCTGTCGGGCAGCCTAGGTCACGCCAAGGGTCCTGCAAGTGGTGACGGTCCTGACGTTTGTGGCACCACTGCGGACAATACAGGGCCCAACGATGTGGCCCCTGGTGTGGGCAGTCTTGACCCTCCCGCACTAGAGGAGGACTGTGGGGAGGCGGTCAAGTTGATAAGGTCCTGCGCCACCTCGAAATGTCTCCAGTGTGGATGGCCGGTGCCCCAGTAACTGTCCTGGGCTGGCTGGAGGTGTGCCAGCCCTCTTCTGCACCCCTGGTGTCGCGGTACATGGGGAGCCCCGTGTGGGTGACTCGTGCCACTGGTACACGTCGGTGCGGGACATCCTGCTAGGGGATCTGCCCCACGATGTCCGCAGCCTCTTCGGGGCTGGGGAGCGGGACCGGTGCCGTGGCGCCTTCGGTGCTGATGCCTTGCAGCACGGCGGAGCGTCCCACGTCAACGCTGGTGCACTGCGCACCGTGGACTGCCCCGCTGGCACCAATTGCAGGGCCGCCTACATGAGGAGAAGCTTCAGGCGGGAATCCCACTCCCTTTTGGTGCGCGGCTTAAAGGCTCTGCAGATTTTGCAGGCATCTGCCATGTGGGCCTCCCCCAAGCACTTTAGACAGCTATCGTGGGTGTCCCCTTTAGGCATAAACTTTGCACAGTCCGCACAAGTCTTGAAGCCTTGCGGCCCTGCCATTCCTTGCCCCCAAAGGGGAGCAAAGAACAAAGTATGACTACTATCACTAACTACCTAACACTTCAGACTATTTACAGATAATAAAACTATTTACAGGCAATAAAACTAACTACAGAACGGGTAGACCACTGAACTGACTGAGAAAGCAATGCTCCTACAACCGTCACGGGCAGTAAGAAGGAACTGAGGTGGGGGAGCGCCAGCAGGGTTACTTATGCTCCGCTATAGCAGCACCACTCTAGGGGGCAACCTGCTGGCACTACAGGTACTGCTTGGGAAAACGCTCCAGGAGAAACCGTGCATGCGGTGCACACACCTTATTCGAATGGACATGAACAACCACTCGAAGAAGAAACCAAGATTCTGGGAACTAAACACCTCATTTAAATAAAAACATAATTTAATATTTTCATTTACTAAAATGTAATGTGGCATGTGTTATTTCACATTACTGGTATAATTAATGGTCTCTCTATCCCATGAAACACACTGCACGTATTTGCATTTACATCCAGCCTAATTAATAGTTAACATATAAAATAACCATAATGTGGCCTGCAAGATACAGGTAATGGGGAAAACAACTATGGTAAAAAAAAAATTTTGTTTTGAATATGTAACAGTAAGCAATTTCCCTTCCAGCCCTTAGACAGTTGTATGAAATGTAAACTCTCATATAAGGAATAAGGGTCGTAACATTGTAGAATCTAAAATCCGAAAGTATCTACTTACCAGAGATGTCCATAAATGCACGATCCCAAAATTCATCGACAGTGTAGCATTCCGCAGAAGTGATATTGACTGAGAGAACAATATCATCTTCCACATATTTTAATATGAGGTTATTGATCACAATGTTGACATTGTTTACTACACGCCTAATCAAACTCTGCACGTAACCTAACAAATAGAAACAAAAAAGACAAATGGAATAATTCAGAAGCTAGGAAAAGGAGATGCTGCTATTAAATTCTCCCCTCAAATTTGTTAATTCTTACCCAAAAAAAACCTTCAACAAATCCAAACTGCATTCTATTGCATTCCTAATAATTAAAATACCACTATCACATTAACCTTTCCCTAATCAAAAAAAGCACAAAACACATAACTTCTTTAAAACTACATTCAGTGCTATCGACTGGATTAGCTTCCAGCAAGTGTGGCAGGTGAAATATAAAAACAAAATGCTCATCTATTAGGATATTAACACAGTAATAGGTGTTAGATCAGCTTTTCTTAAAGTGTGTTCTGTGGCACACCTGTGTGCCACGAGGCAGTAGGAGGTGTGCCGCGGAGAGAACAGAATTCAAAACAGCCACCCTTAAAGGGACAAGCCTCCTTTCCCTGCCCCCTCCCATCCTCACTCCTGGGGGGCTTTATTTTTTTCCCCAACAAAAAAATCCTTGGTGTTCCCCATAAAAAAATATTGTTTGGTGTTCCTCAGTCTTAAAAAGTTTAAGAAACACTGTGTTAGAGACTGTCGTATTGAAATTTGATTTCAAAAGTTAACCTTCAAATTTAAATTTTTCAGAAACCTTCCAATTTATTTTCTTTGGGGGGGAGGCGCGAAGAGGGAAAAAATATTGTTACTAAAAGATTTTATGTGAACATACAAAAATAACTGTATTCAAAGATAGACAGAAATGGACTTGGAAAGAATATACAAAGTCACCAGGATCCTAGTCAAATATACATGTCCAAACATATATTTTCTCTCTCAGTCTACAAAAAGTTGCAGAATGGCATCCATCTTTCTAAGTACTTTTATTACACAAGTTAAATTTTAATGACCAATACATGTACGTGCTCCCCAGTAAGAACTCTGTTAGGTATAACAGAATCAATTACTGTCAATAACTCACACAGTTAGCACCTGCAATAAAGCCAACTGGGAAGAAACCTATTTAAATTTGTTCAACCATAACATGGTTGGAAAAACTACCTCTTTTATGCTTTCCCAGTGGAGACTAAAAATTCTCATCTGAACAATACAGGAAAGAAATGCAATCTTATCCATGTTGAGGTTTTTTCTCTATACGGAATATATTAACAATGCCAATTAATTTATGGTGCTAAGGAAAAAAACCACAAATTAATTATAGTAATTTTTAAACAGCTTTAAGTTATTACTTATACATTACTATACTGAAGTTATTACCTACTCAATGAATCAATATCATATGCAAAAACACATGTATTATATATTAGGGAGACTGTAATTTAAGCTGATTGAAAAAAGGCAGTCAGAGTTGGAACTTATTCTATTTATCGTACAAAATAAAATAATACCTTCAGAAATTCATGTCACATATTAATAGGCCTGATTTATTTTGTTCTTGTTTTTTAAATCCATTCAGTCAGCTATAAGTGAGACTTATTTAAAAACAGCCTAAGTTTGAAAACACACAAATATTTAATAGTTAAAACATAGCAAATGCAAACATGCCACGGGTACAGATAATAATGTTTCTTGTATAGGGGACACATTGTATTTAATATTTTATTTATTTACACAACTTCTATAACATCAATTGCTGATGTCAAGACATTTGATGATGGATGCAATTGTCTATGGACAATGAAGGGATTTTTACAAAGCAAGAGGAAAAGATATATTTAACTGGGACTTCAGATGGGCTCTATAAACCCTTCAACAAGCTGTCAAAGCAGGACTTTCTGTGGCCCAGAACCATGCAGCAGCCTCACCCTTGGAAACAAAATATGTAGCATTCCAGTAACCCCATACTTTCCTCTCAGAGGACTCACCTCCCTTCTGCTTTGCCTCCCACACCACCTCCACTGATTAATACCTCATCTCTCGCCCAGCTTGATATTAAATCTGATTCAATTTTTTAATACCACCTTACTGCCATGAGACTAAATTCAAGTGTTACCAATGTGGAAGGGACAGTTAACTCTCAGGTCCCTGTTACAAGATGGTACCATCTGTGCCGCATGGGGCATTATCCCTGGGAGACAAGAATATAAGAATGGCCATACTGGCCTATTTAACCCAGTACACTGTATTTCAACAGTAGCCAATGCTAGGTGAGCCCAAAGGGAATGAACAGAACAACTAATCATCAAGTGATCCCACCCATCGCCCATTCCCACCTTCTGATAAACAAAGGCTAGGGACACCATTCCTACCAGTCCTGGCTAACAGCCATTGATGGACCTATCCTTCATAAATTAATCTAGCTCTTTTCTGAACCTTGTTAAAGTCCTGGCCTTCACAACATCCTCTGGCAAGGAGTTTCACAGGTATCTGTGCACTGTGTGTAAAAGTACTTCCTTTTGTTTGTTTTAAACCTACTACAGTAAACTTCTGATAATCCGGCACCTTAGGACCCAGGGGGTGCCGGATTATCAAGTATGCCGGACTATCGGAAGGGGGAGCTATGAGGGGTCTGGGATGGGGTGGATGCCACCCCAGACCCCTCATAGCTTCCCCTTCTGATAGTCCGGCTCTGCCCCAGGCATCCCTGATTCAGCTGCTGCTGGTCAGTTTCAGCAGCGGCTGAATCGGGGACGCTTGGAGCAGAGCAGCTCGAGTGCTGCCAGGTTGGTCCGGTAGCGCCAACCCTTGGCACTGCGAGACCAACCCGGCAGCACCCCAGCTGTCCCCGAGTCAGCC